CGGGCCGCTGCGCTACATCAGGCCTGCAAGAATTAATGGCTTATTAATGTCTAGGCGGGAGGTGGTTAAAGGACTTTTACACACACTGACTCCAAGCACCGCAGCCTCCCCCCCTTTTGCTGTGGTGGTCGGAGGACCGTTGGCATCATCACATCTAATGTAGGGACCATAAACCCATAAGCGGGAGAGAGGGGAGCGCTAACTGCTCACGGGAGCACTGATCAGGTAAGCAAAGGCCCTTGCATTGTTACCTTGTGGTCCCTAGCCTTTTTGCCGCCTGAGGCAGGGGGTGGTGGTTGAGTGACGCCACCTTTCCTGCCTAACTCAGCGTCCTGCCCAGCTCCTGGCAACCAGTGACATCACTGGTTGCCAGGAGCTTTGCAGGACACTGGCCAGAGCATCCCAGGTTGCTAAGAGCTGGGCATGGAGATAAGTGTGGTCCTTACACATCTCCCCACCCACCTCTTAACTGGGATGTTCTGCTGAAAGGGGGCGTGCAGGCAGGCTGGAAACATTATTCAGCAGAGGGGCCATCCCCCCCCACGTGACCCAAAGAGATGCCACCTGAAGCAACAGTGTAAGGCTGCCTCATTGAATGGACGGCCCCGGGTACCCTAGACATAACTGAACAGTTAAAGCTGAATTCCAGGGAATAGAAAAATCTTACCTTGCATTAGGGCTACCCTCTGCACTGCAAGGGTTAACTGCTAATTTTTGTCTAGTAGTGTTGTGTAAAGGACTTTTACTCACCTGATTTACTCCATCAGGTTTCAGGCACCTTTCTCCAGCGCTGCCAGGTGTACCCACAGTTAAAATGGCCACTGGTGCTCTGTCTCCACCTCTCCATCACACTCAGAGGTAGCCCTAATGCAAGTGTCAACTGCTCATTTTTGTCTAGGGGTGTTGTGTAAAGGACTTTTACTCACCTGAGGTGCATTCAGTTACTTAGCCAAGTGCTAAGTAGCTGTTCTGCAGTGATTCAGTTTGCTGCAGCAGCTTCACTGAATGCTTCGGCTGGACAGTTGTAAGCAAAATGGTAGAGGATTCAGTGTTAAACTCTGCCATTAGAACTATTTCTACTTTAAGACACAGTTTTTCATTCACACTAGTCCACCAAAACATTAAATTGTAGGTTGCCACAATGAATTGTGATTTGCTACATCGGGGCTCAGGTACCCTTCTTCATCACTGCCAGAGGCGTGTTCAGTTGCTGCGAGTGCTGAGTTAGCAAACTGCCGCAGAACGCTGTGCTCCAAGTCAGCGCTCAGTATCTAGAGCCCCATAGACCTCTGTCGGGCTGGTCTACCTCTGACTCCTGGTCAGGAGATGAGCCCCATTGACATTTATAGGGTTCTCCTATGCAGGCACAGACAGGAGAGAGAGGACCTTTGGTTCAGGATATCAACAAGCACAGGAGGCCACGGACACTGGATCTCGGTAACTATACATCTGTAAGGGGGGGCTCTGTTAGGTTAATGTAGGGGGGCAAAAAGTATAATATCTAACTATTCCCCCCTAAAAGATTTTTAATAATATGTGTTCTGCTTTACTGCAAGAGCGAAAGGGCCACTTAAAAAGAGGACATGTTTGCATTTTAGCTGCAAGGTTCACTTTCAACATAAAAAAGTGCCCCTGCTGCTATACACACCCCCTATCCAGCTCTGTCCCTGGCAGACTTACCAATATATTGATGCAACACCATTCTTCTTCCAGGTTGAATGATGCCTACCAGGTTTCATGAACACCACTTAATGTGAGCCCGGAGCTCACAAAATGCTGCTCAGAGCCCTGGGTTCCCCTAGGATTCAAATCAGACCCTTATCCAGGCATTTAGCCTGGGTGGCCAGGAAAGGGAGGGCACTGAGTGTGTTCTCCTACTGGGCCATACGTTTCTCCCTTGCAAGGTACCTTTGTCCGCATGTTAATGGGTACAAGGAGCTCATTCCCATATCCTGTCCCCCACAAGTGATGCGTTGGTTTGTGTTGGGGAAATTATTGAATTCTGGTAGCCCTCTTTATAATAAGGGAGCCCACAGATATCGACACTCAACCTAAGGGATTTAGCATGGGGTACTCATTCCCCACAAAAAGACACCCACACTGTAACAAAGTCCTTTATTTGAATAAAAGTAAACAATGTCCCCAATGTAAATCACACTGTCACAATGAAAATCCTCATCAATCACAACAACCCTCTACCATGACAACCTGCCGGCCGGCGATGTTGATCCGCTGACACACTCATTGCACTACAGCTACAAAATGACAGTTACCCCAGTCATATATCAACCAACCTACATATGTGGTCAATGACCATCATCCAGGATCCCCTAATGGTTTGTTCACAAACACTAGTCACCTGGAGATTTGTCATCGTCAGTGTTTGAGTCGGGCAAACTGGCCAAATGTGGCCAGCAGGGCTATACCTATAATGATGCAGTCTAAGGAGGTTGCCTCAGGCAGCATCTCTTTGGGTCACATGGGGAGGCAACAGGTATACTGGCCGTTACCTTTCCGGCCAGAGCATCCCAGGCTGCTAAGAGCTCTTAGCAATTTGGGATGCTCTTGCTGGCATCCCGTCCAGCTCATTGACATCACTGGTTGCCAGGAGCTGAGCGGGACACCGAACAGAGGTAACGTGCACCTTCCGGATGCCAGACTGAGGTACCCCCCCCAAGGTAATGTGTGTCATCAGCAACCGCCCCCCACACACACCTCAGGAGGGGGAAAATTGTAGGGACACCCCTGGTGGCTAGTTTGTTTGGCCATTCATGGACAGGCTGGATTCTGGTCAAACTCATGTTTAACATGAATCCGAAGCTTATACCTACCTCTGATAGAGAAAGCATAGAATGTTCTGCAGATAAAGTGCATTGGGACAGATTAGTGTAGGACTTGTAAGCACTGGTCTTTTAACCCCTTCATGACTGAGGCCTTTTTTTCATTTTTTTGCACCAATGCTACATTCCACATTTAGGCCTGAAAATTACTTAAAACCCCCAAACATTATATATTTTCTGAAAGCCAAGATCCTATAAAATAAAATGGTGGCAGTTGCAAATTTTTATGTTGCACGATATTAGCGCAACTCCTTATCAAACCCCAAAATTTAGTGAAAAATGTACTTAAATGCCCCAAAACACAATAAAATACCAATTTTTTCCCCATAAAATATAAAAGATGAGGTTACAACGAGTAAATAGATACCTAACATGCCCAGGGCAAAAATTGTGTGCGTCCGTGAAACGGCGAAAAAACTTCAGTACCCCAAAAAGTCCATAGACGACGCCACAACAGGTCATCATTTTAGAGATACCTAAAAATACTGGCCCTAGAATTATTGCTCTCACTCCGGCGTGCGCGGCAATACCCAACATGTGTAGCGCGTTCGTTTTCATACGTAGGCGCACCCGACGCGTGTTTACGTGGCGATGTGTGTGCTCGCAGGGGCGGGGACTTTAAAACATTTTTTTATTATTTTTAGATTTATTTTATGTAATGTTAATTTTAAAAACTGTTATTTTTTTTTATTTAATTGCTATCACATAGGGGGGCTTACAAGCCCCCCATGTGATAGCAGATGGTGGTGACAGGTACTCTTTAAGGTGATGCTGGGGATCCAAAAGACCCCCAGTGCCACCTTTACACTCTAAATAAGCTATTTTTAGAGACTCTATTTTAGTTTGACATTTATTGTTTACCACTTGTTTGCCTTCTGTTGTTTTATGTAATCAGAATACTTATATTGTGCCTACAAGTTTAATAGCTTTGAATAAAAGTTTTATTTTAATCATACTTTTTAATATGTTTCTTTGGGGCTGAACAAAATGGGAGTCTTTAAATGGTGCGGATATTGGAAAAAATAGGTGTGGTCACCGAGGGGTGTGGTCACTGAGGGGCGCTGTAAAGCTTTCTCGTACAGGGCGCCAAAAGACCCAAGGCCGGCCCTGCACCTAGGTTAGACTTCAAGCAAATCTTCCTCTCTTCATCTCTTTTACTTAGGGAGTGGAAGGATCAGTAGTTTACAGAAGGCTGATAAGATTGCTTGTGCTTTCAGCTGAGCTGAAGTTACAAGCAGATTGCCCATCCAGCAAAATCAATGGGTATTTTCTGTACTTGCTCAAAATATTCTTAGCCTGTGAAATGAAACCTAATGTAGCCACAACATCTAAGGACTGGTAAGCTGCAATATATAACATTTGAATTCTTGAGTTTAGATTCTTTAATCAGGTAGTGCTATATGCATGACTAGAAATACATTTGGGGATAAAAATAGGCCTAGTGTGAAGCTTTCCTAGCTACTATTTGTATTATATCCTTTGAATCTGAGGATTCATAAAAAAAAAAATTAAGACTTAACTCAGTAAAAGGTGTTGGTTTGTGCTAAACCTCTTGGCTTGGCTTCCCAGAACTTCCTGTCCAGTACAAGGTATCAAGGGACAGTGGAATCTCCAGCAGATGTCCATCTACTAGCTTGAAGAAGGGAGGAACAATGAGCAGGGGTGTGGCTTGCCTTGCTGTGTCTGTATGTCTGTACAGCTTACTGGCATACACAAGGGGGGCTCCATAGAAAGCTGCAAGGAAAAGTAGCCACCTTACACAAGGATATCAGGGCCAGTGCTCAGGGGA